AGTCCAGAATCAAACTGTTGAGGGAAAACAGGAGACAAAAATAATCATCCAAATGTTTGTTGAGGAGTTGCAGAGACGTCGCCTCCGCGACTGACTGAGGGAGATCGTTCCATTTCTTCACTAACCCCTGCGTAAAAAATTAAGAACGAAGATTTAGCCTGGACATTTTTGTCCGTAACTTCATCGAGTGACTACGAAGATGGGGTGAAATTTGGCAATGAAACGTGTCCTCTAAGCTAAGTCCATGCTCAATGCCATGCTTTATCTTATAGACGAGGACAAGATCAACTCTTTGCTGCCTGTAACGCAGAGGGAATAAATTAAGGCAATTCAGTCTGTCCGTGTAGGATTGGCTTTTTAGACCGTTTACCAGCTTTGTTGCACGACGTCGTATCCGTTCGAAGCATGCTTTTCCTTTTACTAGCCATAGCCGCTATGCCTGTAGGCCATATTCTAATTGGGGCCGAACAAACGGGCCGTAAACTCTCTAAAAAGGTCTTGGTCAAAGTTTACGAACACCCTTTTGATTACATGTAGCACTCGCATGGCGTTTTTTGCAGCCTTGTGGCACTGAAGTTTTGGCTTCAGGTTGTTCTGTTTCCAAACCCCGAGATCCTTCTGTGAAGATTCTGCAGGGAGCCTTATATATTTCAAGTGATATGTCCTCAGGCTCTCATTTGAATGGGAGTTGTTTGGACGCAGATCAAGGACGGCACATATCAGCACACTTAACTCTAGAAGCCATTTCTCCGACCACGCTTGCAGTCGATGCAGATTGTTTTGAAGGGTTCTCTGGTCGTAAGGATTCTAAATGACTTGTTTGAGCATAACGTCGTCGCAAACATTATTTTGCCGCAGTCGACTTCCTGAAGGCTGTTATTAAGATAGAGGATGAAGAGCAATGTTCCCAGGAATGAGCCTTGAGGCACACCACTGATCAAGTTCCCCCATTCTGAGATATCATCTCCGATACGGACACGTTGTTTCTGACCAACCATAAACGCCGTTATCCAGTTCAGAAGATCTCCCCGGATGCCAATGGCGCTCAATTTGTGAAGAAGACGTTGGTGCGGGATAGTGTCAGAAGCTTTCCGGATATCATGTACACGACATCCACCTCAAAACCCTCTTCTAAAGCCCTGGTACAGATCTCCAGACAACCTAGCAGATTGGAGACGCAGGAACGTCCCCTCCGGAAGCCATGCTGAAAATCCTGCAAGATGCTATTTTCTTCGAAAAGTTGCTTAATAGCGCTTTTTACTAGAGCTTCCATCGTTTTGCTTGGGAGGCAAGTTAAGCTAACAGGCCTGAAGCTGCTTCCTATCATTCTGCTACCTCCCCTATGTAAGGGAACGAGGTTAGCTGTCTTCCACTGGGATGGCAGGCTTTCAGTTCTCACCGACAGCTCAAGGAGAGTCGAAAGAGGCTTTGCCAGCTCCTTTGATAGCTCCTTAATTATCAACTCAGGAATTCCATCGGGTCCACGAGACTTATCTGGTTTTATTTGACTAAGGACACGTCTTACTTCTTCGACGGAAAAGGCAACAGTTTTAATGACCGCAGTATGTTGGTGCATTTGAAGCTCTCAGCCGTCTCGGCTCATTTCAAATGGCTAATTGTCTTCTGAGGACTCCTCCGTAAAAACCGATTGAAAAAACTGAGACAGTAATTGCACTTTCTGTGGCCCTTCAACTAATATGTTTCCGAGGCTATCCTTTAGACACGCAATTTCGTCCTTATGTTTTCTCCTACTACAGATGTACCCGTAAAACTTCTTGGGACATGTAATGGATTCTGCTATCAGTCGGCGCTCGAAAGAAGTTCTAGTAACCCGTATTTTCTTGTGGCATTTATTGCGCTGATCCTTATATTCGGCGAATACATTGGATCTCGAAGTTGCAAATACTTTTTCCATAGCCTCTCTTTTTTCTTTAGGGTCTTTTTGTCGTCGGATTGACCGACGGAGGTCGCGCACAGGGTCACTAAGGCTTTTGCTCGTGTTGATCATGCTTTTCTTCCCTTGAAGGTGTGCTTTTTGGGAAAAGGTGGCAAACTTCTGAATTTTGTACGCTCTTACTTGGGTGCTCGCTCAAAACGAGTTAAGAATTCTAATGCTAACTCCAACCTTACATGCGTGAGAAGTATGGCCATTTAGAGTAGTGTACTTGGTCCACTATTATTTTGCATTTTTGTTAACTACGTGCCAGATTTATTTCAGAATAGTAAGCCCTTCATATATGCAGATGATCCGAATGTTGCATATAGATATAAGCAGGCAGCTTGCGACATCATGCTCCAACTCCTATGTGTCGATCCGCAGGCTTTTAGCTAATGATGCTGCATATGACGCTTTCTCTTTCTTGGCATAAATGCTGAGTAATGGGGTTTGGGGATGACCATCAACACCAAAGAAACATTGACGGTTATGACATAAACAATGTTGAAGTTATTAAGAATCTGGGCGCGTCATATTCCATGACTCTCACTCTTTCAGTGTACTGCGCTGTTCTATTCTCAAAATCACTCAGAACGACCGGGTTAATCCTCCGAAATTTTGAAATCGCCGATGATAGAAGGCATAAATTTCGAAATTTGCGTTTGACCTGACCTGGAACGCTGCACTTTTTTATTTAGCCCCATGCGTGCTGCTGGGTGGAAAAAAACAACCCGTCCAGTATTTGTTGACCAAAAGATTTTAGCCTCGGAATGCCGATGTTTGACCTACCAGGAAAGTTGCAGGCTCACAAGACTTGACCCGTAGTCGTTTCGTCGACTGAAAGGAACTATTTTTGTTGTTTAAACTCTTAAACAATCGCGCTTTTAATCTGCTTGCTACTTTAAGACATCTTGACGACCCCACGTAACAGTCACCTCAAAGTCTGTTTACTTCTTTCCCTGGCACGTACCGTTAAACATAGTAGGTTCTTTTCTGTTAACACAATTGCAATCTGGAAAAAATGACCCAGGAGTGCGAAATTCGGCAAATTTTTTTTGCCTAAATGAATCATTAACTCGTTTTTGGCATTTAGACAAACTTCCACAGATTTTGGGTGCTGAATCCATCGAATTAATCTAATGTAGTGATGGAGTTCGTGGTCTCTGATCCTCCCTGCCCGGTCTCATCCCATGAGAAATGGTGTTAGCTCAACACTAGGGACAATTTATTCAGCCGACAGCGAGCAGCTGTTCTTCCATGCATTCTGTTTGGTGCAGTATCAATTTCAGAAAAAGGAATGGCGGCCGAACATATTCAATGCAACGTTAACTGTTTCCTTTTAGGACTGACGTCATTGCACAGGAAGCAACTTTTTTCTCCTGGACCATTTAAACTATTCATAACCACCACCACCACCACCACCACCACCACCACCACCACCACCACCACCACCACCACCACCACCACCAACATCACGTATACTTACCTCCTCAGGAGTTTTCTCACTGCTAGTTCGATCCGTGCTTTACATTTGTTTGACAATTTTTGCAAACTTGCAGTAAGCACAATTACTATTTAATGTGTAAACGCCTATCCGGAGAGTTCCTTTATTTTGAATCCACACATTCATATTTTCCCAAACTTGTTTGGCAGTACCGCTGATATCAGCACTGTATTGCTAATCCTCTCTTTGGTCAAACTAGCTTCACTCACCCCAAACGGACCACATGTTTGCTTGAAGGAAATCACGACAGTTTTCGAAATACGTATTCATCCCTCGAGTGGTAAGGTGCCACCGACGTGGGGGACCCAACAGTCAGATTATGACTAATAATCTGTTTTACAAATTTGAAGCATTTTGTCCCCGGTACGAAGTTGAAGTAGGCAAACAGGGCAGGATTTAATGGTACCAAGAATTTCGCGACGGCTCGTCAGGTGCGTCCTGTCACTTCATAACATCGATAACGAGTGGTAAAAATATAACAGATTTGAATTCGTGCAGAAAATCAATGTAGAAACGGCAGGGTCATGGTTTTGGGTAAGGCTGGCTAATCGATAAATTTAGTAACTTAAACACCGTATGGGAAGAATAGTGAAAAAGGGGTCGTTAACGAACACAAAAAGTGAGAGGGGGAGGGGAAAATCATGGAGCTAGAGGTTACCATGGCAATGTTAGGCTAACCACGTATTTCAACTGTTTACAAAGATCTGGTTTCACCCGTCGTATATAGGACGCCTCTAGGTAACGCAATGTCTGAGTTGTTCATGTCCTTCTGAGTACCTGTTCGGGCATGAGTGTGTCGAAAGACTAAGGAAATCAAATGATACGTTGACCACTGAGACGAGAATAAGTTATTGGTCTCCATCTGGAAGTCTACAGCCCTCACACCCAAGAAACCACGCTGCTATCCAGCTCCGACGGGACAAAGTTCATCATGCAGAAATCGCAAATTCTGGTGCGTTAGGCCGATTGTTTCAGAACCGTCTTCAACCGCCCATTCAAAATCTCGGACGCCGCCGTCGACCGAATCCCTCATTTGAAAACCAGTACCTATATGGACCGTCCGCCCTCATGTCCATAAACGATCAACGATGTGCAAAATCTTTCCAGCGAACAGGCATTAGGGTCTCATGATATCCCGGCCGAAGTTTACAAGCTGAGCAGTTCTCAACTAATGGAAAAACTTAGATCGATACTCCAGGGGTTGTGGTGATAGGGAGAAAATCTTTGGGAATTAAATAACCTGCCAATCGTTCACCCACACAAGCGAAAATGGGACCGGAAACTCTCTGATAATCACACAAGAAACTCGCTGTTAATCATTGGCGGGAAGATCTCAGTCGGCAATTCGGATTATCGACTCCTATCCGAAAGATAATATGGCTTCAGACGACTTCGCGGAATCATCGATTTTACCTTTGCCGTTGCAAGCTGCAGGAAAAGTGTCCCGGTATACATACTAGCCTCTTCACTACCTTCGCGTGGTCCGTGTAAACCTTCGATATGGCGAATTGTGACGGACTGTGGAAAATGATGCACACAGTGCGTGAATTTTACGTCCGAATGAAGGCGCGCATCACCGAAAACGGGACAGTCACCGACGCATTTACAATGGCCGATCTAGGGAAGCAGGGTTTTTTACTCGTTCCCACTTTCTTCAGTCGCACGTCCTCTGACATACTGGTGGACGCCTACCGTGACGACGGTCCTGGGACCTGCATCGTCTACAGGACCGATGGTCAGCTTCCCACTACCCGACGCATGCAGGCCCCAAACCGTCTCTCCACGATTACTGTCCACGAAATCATCTTCATCGAGGACTGCGCTTCCAACAGCGCGACAGAAGCGGATATGCAGACAAGCATGATTCTCCTTACTGCCGGCTATGGAGACAATGCTTTGCCCATCAGAACGGAAAAGACCGTGAGCATGCACTAGGCTGCTCCCAGCAAACAACATAATGAGTCTTGCTTTACTGTCAGCAGCACCGAAATGAAAAGCTGAGCAAATACGCGTATTTAGACAGTACACTCTCACGGAAATAAAAAAATCGAAGATGAAACTGCGCAACAGATCTCCAGTACCAGACAGTCCTTCGACCGACTGCAAGTCCCCATGTGGGATCAACATGGTCACCACATTAAAACAACGCTGAAGATGTGCAAAACTGTCATTTTGACAACGCTGTTATACGGAGCAGAGGTCTCGGCAGTCTATTAAAACAGATGAGGAAACGCAATCACTTTTGCCCAACTGCCGCCCGAGAATACTGAGGCTGTAGTAACAAGATAAGATACTAGTCACAGCAGCCCTTGAGCAAGTCGGAATTTCCAGCATCGACTTCATGCTTAAGCAACAGTAATCGTGCTGTAGCGGCCGTGTTGCAGGATAGATGACGAGCGCCTGTTTTACTGTCTCTTATGTAACGATGTCACTACATGTGGTGTTTGGAAAGGAGGACAACAGAGGCGCTACAAGGACACGCAAAAGAACTCCCTCAGGCACTTGCAAGTCACTCAGTTTGCCTGGATGGACCTCTCTCAAGATCGACTGACCAGAAGAAAAGCAGTGAATACTATAGCAGCGATCCGCGAAGACAACCGAATCGCGGCTGTTGAACTTAAAAGAGCGACCCAGAGGTCTTAATCGCCTTCGACCAAAAACGCCCACACACAAACTCCTTCAACAGAACCACGCTGTCAGCGAACATTCCACACATGGACCGGCTCCGTCCGGAATCTCCAGACCCAATGCAACAACATTACGACAACTCCACCCATTGCCAACACAAACGTCTCCCGTCACCCTAGAATCAAGCCCCATGGAGGCGACCACCGCCACCACTGCCACCGGTGGTCATACGCCTGCCGTTCCACGGTCGCCGCTGTCGTCGTCGTTGACGATCACAAAACCCACCATTTGTACCTTAACCCCTCTATGGCGTCGACGACTGCGGCTTCTGCCATTCACACTGCCGGTGAGAAACTTTCCAGCGCCCTGTCAACCACTACCTTCGTCACCAACGCAACCGCGGCCATCAGTGCGGGCTCCATCTAAACCTGTCCTCATTGCGATCGCACGTTCCTATCGCGCATTATCCAGATCGCACACATCCAAACCCATCGTACAGAGACCGGCCAACCAGCGTCTGTAGAAGTTGCTCAAGTCTGTTATTGCCATGAACTAATTCACGCGCAAGTCACCGTCCTGCGCCCACCATTCTGTGGGACATCCGGTGGACAGCGGCACATGCTACTCGAACTGTTATATGTTCACAGGGCAGTTAGTTACATCATCAGTTTACTGAAGCGTTATGACAAGGGAAAAAAGAAGAGGACATTAGGAGGTTAAAGAACTGTATGTGTTGTAGGATCATTTGGACCCCTGCCGTCCAATTCACAGTAAATACGCTTACTTGGACTCTCTATTTGTACTTTTTGAATAAAAAGACAGAAAAATACGAACCTTCGACTTTGGAAAATGTCTAGTCTCCATTCAAAATGCATCGAAAGCCTCAACCAGGGATTGAGCATTTTATAAATTGAACCTGATTTCATGATTCTGACGACAAGTGGCCTCAAAGGCGTCATTTAAATGGAGGGCTCTTGCTTTATGGGATTAAGCAACAAATGTTTTCTATATCTTCCAATTATCATGCATTGATACTGTCTATTCTGAGGTCATTTACTTATGGTTTTTGGATCTTTCCACGTCTGTACAACAGCACAATACTAAGGTTTATGCGGCATTCAGCCCCATATGCTTCTGTTAAAATTAAAACTGTTTACTTGGATCTTCGATCTCAGGATCCGCTAATTCGTTTCGATGTTGATAAATTATGTTAGAACTTGTTTCGGAATCAACTTTTTCACATCTTCAGCATCAAAATGCTTGCTGTTTGACAGAGAAAAAACATGCTAATGTTGATGCCTTTATATATTTGCCAGAAAATCGACTTCGATTTGACTAACAGAAGGGCCTCCATTTTGCTGCACTCATATAGGCAGTCATTTTAGATGGACATTTTTTTTTCTAAAATATGTTCTAGAGCCCTGCAATGATATTTTTGCAATATAACATGATCCGTGTTGGCGGATGAACTGCTCAACAACACTGTGTGTCCACCTTCTTCTTGTGATCGATGAAACCAATGGGAACGGGACCGCTCTGGTTCAAGCCCAGGCAAGGGTCTCCCTCGATGACACAGTCGTCACTTTGATCAGAGGGGCGAACCGGATCACCAAGCGACAGCGGGGGACCCGTGACCGCGTTGTCTGCTGGCCGCGGTGGAAGTGGTGGCTGGCCCCCACCCAAGTAATAGGCCGGGTCGTTGACCTTACCGTAAGCGTATGAGGGATGGCAGGTGTACATGGATTTTGGCTTGTCACTCAAAGTTTCGGGGAAATTGCGTTTATCCTTTGCGCCCTGCCAGAAAATGTAAGACACTTGATCTTGATGCAAACAGAATTCCAAAACGGGTAAGATTATTTTTAACTTTCATTGTGCTCTGTGATTTATAGAAGTATTTCAGCAACCTATAAATTGAAACAATTGACGTAGTTGTTGATGCACGAATGTTTATCGAACAACTTGCTCAAAAAGGACAGGAGAAACAGAATGGAAGGCAAGACATCCAAAGCCCTACAGCAGACCGATGAAAAGAGTGCATGCCTTAGAACGGAATGTGTGTCTGTAATTTTGCCACGGATCCTTAACTCCCCTGTCCAGAAATACTTTGGTGTTGCATTGGTGCTACACTACTGTTCTTAGACAAAATCCACCTTGGGGACGCCTCTTGCATTTAGCTCTTGCAACAGAAATTATTTTTACAATGCAGCCCGCCAAAAACTAACTTAGAGCTGTTGTAATACAAAATTGGTTTAACTGCACAAATTCGCAGTTCTACAGGCATATCTTCCAATACGAAATTGCAACTGCACTGGCAGTACTAATGACTACTTTGCAGGCCATCAGTACACCTCTAACGGCTGTTTAACAGTCGTCCCAAATTATAAAGATGAATTCATTCTTAAAAGTTTATACAAAATTTTGAGAGTTACAACCGGTTTTATCCTGGGTCTAGGTGCTGCAATTCTACTTTCTCTACACACATGTATGCATAGGCAGAAGCGGGGTGTTGACAAAGACGAGGGGGACTGGGATGGGCATTTCCAGCTTATTAGCCGTCGTCGGTCGGCCTTACCTGAACCCAGGCTTGCCGCACCTGAACCTCGAACCCGCGTTCGTTGGTCATCGAGCCTTATTAAGTCGAACGCTCTACCAACTGGGTTACGGGTCTCTTGTTCTGTCGTTTGCGATCGCGAATATTAATAATCGCGGGATGAGTGTTTATCGATGAGGACTACGAGACAGGTTCGTTCGGCTGTGCCCTGAAGCTCAAACGGCTATATTGCTACCGAATTTTACGTTTGCATAAGTCTAGAGCAAACATTTCCTGTTGAGACTTCGAAATCTTAGGGCCTAATTAAAAGTTAAAGCCCAATGACACACTAGTCAGGTTCACACCTCAAGCACACCAGCACACTGTTTATTCTGCAAGTGCTTTTACTTCTTCATAATAACGAAGTAATAGTAATGTTGGAGGTGTCCAACCCTACTTCATGTCCCTGGAATAGCCTCATTTGTGAGTGGACTCGCATGCACATTTAACGCACACCTGTACATACTAAGTCATCTTACCTCCCTAGCTTCCAGTTGTTGCTGCACTGGACCATACATGTGCTCAGTGAGTGGGAAACTCTGCCCATGGACAGATCCAACAGGACCATATGTCAAGTGACCTCCAGCTGCGAGATCCTCGTTTGCATAGGTTGAAATCTAAGCAAGTGGAAAGTTGGCAAAATATAGACAAATAAATGGAACAAACCGCTGTGAGCCGATGAAGCGCCCTGATTTTGTCTTCTTCGGAGTTAAATGCGCTCAGAATATACTCTGTGCCCTCGGTGGTCTGATGATCGGTAAGTGTCCTAATAAGAGCGTGTTTTGGACACATATATCAGAGACTTACCGTTTTATGCAGTCTAAGGCGTAGAGTTTGTCGGGTTGCGTGAGTTGAATGCGTTCAAGTACTTCTTTCCCCTCTGCGCAGCTCATGCGACACAATCGCTTTCATACAGGTATAAAGAATTATATTAGACTGAATTCTAACAAATAAAGGCCATATGTATCGTTCTTTCATTTATTATATCTGAAACGGAATAAGTTTTGCAAGCTCGGTTGACTGGAATGGCTGGGGGCATCGGACGAGTTTCTAATGAGGGAGGGTGTTATAAATAGCCGATAAAGTTTGCTGAGTGTAAGTCGGCTTACGCTGTTATAACCAATCTCTGGGGTTTTATAGTACATTAAAAACCGGCTAGCAACCTGTCTTTCAGACTTCTAGAACAAAAACCTCTAAGACAAAAATTTACCAACAACTATTCATAACATATTTCAGAACACCATCGCCAGCAGACTCGTGTGCAAGGGTCTGCAAACTGCCCGGGCAAATGATAAATAACTATTTTTGCATTTTCTTTGGTAAACATGTGCAAGGCTCATCGGCATTAACTGCTTAAGCAACTGGGATTAGTTCACAGGTGTCGTTGGCCACTATCAAAGGAGGTATATTCTGAGCTTGAGCGGCCACTTCCATTGCTTTCGCTAGGAAGAGCAAGGAGATGTTCATTTAAACTCCACCGATTAATAAAGTCCTTTGGGCCTTCATCACGATGCAAGGTAACGGACTATAAAGATACACTAAGGGTGTTTTATGCCCTATGTTATATGCGATACCGTAAGCATATTTGGTTCTGTAGCCCAAGCGAACATAATTCTACCCAAATCCTTTGCACATCAGGTCTGTGAAACTAGGAATTTTTATTTCCTCAGGAACTGGCGCAGTGTGCACCCTGAAGAGCATCATTTTCTGCTCTTCTTTTAAACGTTAACAGAAATCGGACGCATTTGGTGCTTGTAGGCAACCAATATATCCGCCGTCAGAGCCAGAAGTGAGGGGCGGCCATACAGTGTTAGGTTCTGTTGTCTTCGCTTTTACTCTCCGCTTTGCACAAAGCAAGGAAAAACCACATCTGTAGACGTTGTCGTTGGCAGTTATTTTCACTGATACTAAAAGGATGAACATCGCACGCATTACCTCACGTAGTACTATAACAGCGGCACGTGGGATGTGCTTAAGTCTTCACTGCTATCCACAGACTCTTATCAAATGCAGTACTTTTAATTTTGCACATCTGCGTGAGCAGGGTTTCTCTGGTATACAGCTAAAACGGTGGTTCACCCTTCTGACAAGGCAACCTGGTAACCTCCTGTACAGTACACAAGAAAATCATGAGTGTCGATGGGAACACAGACAGCCTCTCTAATAAAATACTTGTTTTGTACATTACGGGGAAAGTAAAGTGAGGTTCAGACTGTCGAATTATAAACAGGGATTTCCTTATAGTGTGTTAGTTATTGTGCATACATCCCTGGTTATTGCACCGACACAGGCAGATAACTGTTAGGATTGCGGTCTAACAACGTTCCAATACACGTTAAAAAGTTTCTCAGAAACAGGTGGCCATATTCCCTGTCAGAAAAATGCATATGCCAGATTTTCTTAAATAAACGTTTAGTTTCTTCTTCGAGTCAAAGCACTGTCCAGATTCCAAAGTTCGCCTTCCGTGTACATGCTTAATAACCGCATATGCTGACTTAGTAAGAGGTACCACAAGGACTTAGCTAGGCAATTGCATTAACGTCCTAAGAAAATAATGATTTTATGAATTATTAACCGACGAATATATGTTTAGATTGTCTTTCTGCAGTGATGAGTAAAGCTCGTCGAAATGGCACACTATCATAAATATTTAAGCAATCAAGGAGCTGCGTCCTAGGGTGCTTTTTAGCCTTGCATAAGAAGTGGAAAATCTCACTTATGACTTTGCCTTGACAACCTCGATTAACACGATGATATAGCTCTCGAATCTTATTTGCCTTTCTTGAATACAAACTAAATTTCAGCACTCACTATGCTTAACTACGAATCGAAATCCTGTGAACCAAAAAGTGGCCTTCGAAAATTAACGAGTTTACTCCTAAATTTCGAGCGTTTTCCCCTTGATTCACGTTTTTGAGTATAAGCGCGATCGTAAAATTTTAACCCAATCTGTAACTCGACAAGAAATTGAAAAAACCAGTGCGTCTCTGCCGACATCTCTTGTGACTTTTAATCGTCGCGATGACTCAATTGGGAAACATATTTCATATATGCGTCTAGAAAAACTTCTACGTAAATTGCTGCAGATTCACTGCAACAAATTATTAAGGTCTTCAACAAATCAAACTAACCCTATAAAACATCATCGACAGTTTTTTACATTTTTACGTGCTCTACAAAATAATAATTATATCACAGATAATCTTCTGTAACAAAAAAGACAAGCAGCGAGAAGACTTACGTTTTCAAGCATTTTTAAAACTCGAATTTTTTCTGGCGCCGTTTTAAAGGTCCCGAGTAGTTCTGCAGCCTACAAAAATTTGCAACAATACTATGCCTTACCTGTTGACCACTAAAGTTTCCGGGGAAATAATACAGTTTTGAAAGCTTTGTTTCGACAGAGTCAGTTTCCCCTCGGAGCTTCGCTAGAAGTCGGCTAAAATCGCCGTCGTTTACTGGTTTTTTCGTCATCTTCTATCCTTCAGTAACTAGAAAAAAATCTGCGTTTGGTTACAGCAAATACACAATATATGGGCCATGAAATGCTTGCCAAAAGGCAGAAACGTGTTTTTAATAAGAAAGAACTAGCTAGGTGTGGTTGTAATACTGATCATAGTACAGCATAATCCCACAATACTTGATTCTTTGCAGGATGCCCACTTTCGAATGAGATTTTTTTCGGCCATCTACATAAACCCTACCTGGTAAAAAAGACCTCTTAAGTAGTATGACTTCCCCATTGGTTTCTGATGCCCGTATAAATTCAAGCATATTCTATAGATAAGGGCAGAAATATGTTCTTTCTTTTACTCATTTGGTAGGAAATACTCCGCCCTTCCAGTTCATAATCAAAGAAAGGGTTCTAGAAATGTGTTTAATCTCAGAACAATTTTAGACAAAACCTGCAGCTGCGCTGGAGCTTAGAGTTTAAAAACACCATGCTGTATACTTTGCGTGCATAGAAAATAATGTATTTTTCCACACTGTTAAGGAGACGCCTCATAGTGCTCAAGAAATTTTGTAAAGAATGTGGTCTTCACAAACAACATCAAAAACACACTTATGCGCTGATGTACGAATGGCCATTTCACTGTCTTAAAAACCGCATAATCAGAAGCTTCTTAAAACCGAAATATACCATTTCTCCGTGTATAAGATTCGAGGATGACGCAATTTTCTACCGAACGAATAAGAGGAAAACATCATTGTGCAGGTTTTTTGCTAAATAACATTTACAACCCACCTGGGTAATATTTTCTACTCTAAAACATATTGCAGACTTTCGATTATGTGAGATGTTAAAAACGGGATTTTCTTCTGGCATGAACATACAAAACTTGAAGAAACTATATGCGCAATTCTTAGACGGTTAATCAGATGACAGATGAAAGTGACTATCTGAGGAAAGATAATGATTTAATCCACCTGGCTGAACGGATAAAATACTGGAATAGACCAAGAAGCCACTGGGGGCCAAAAAATGACAACATTTTCAAGCTTACACAATAGGGAAATAGTGGACACCTGAGTTCAACTACTTATGAAAATTTGATTGCGTTCAATGCAAGCAGGACATACAACGTATATGGTTAATAATCTCGAACCTATGCCTATCGTTTGTTTTTCAGTCTAGGTTAACACCACCCAATTAAAGACTTAAACAGGAAGTATCCTGCACAAATTCAATGGAAATTCAAATGCCTATATTAGCTTAGCTCTGAACTCTCCATGTTCAAAATAAAGCAATTAAAATCGCAAGAATGTCTGATGATGTCGGCGAAACTAGCAAAATAATTAAAATTTGCCAAACACCTATTGATTACGTGAGCTTGGTAGTCATCTGGTGGATTACTCGGAAATGTCTGCTTAGGCAGACAGCTTACCCTATCAGATTTAGCGGATTCCAGACTGTGCGGTAGGTTAGGCGGTTAAGTTGGCGCAGATGTGATTAAACTCACGTCTCCCGGTGGGGTCTCGTAGCTCAGGTGACTATAACGTTGGCTGTACTGAAGCTTTTCATTTTCTGTTGTGGGTTCGAATCCCACCGAGGCGGCAAGTTTTTCAGAGTTGCGTCAATATGAATGGAATATCACATAACCAAGACTGAAAAGCAACTTTGATGTTAATTTGTTTCTATTTTTCTTTGTAGTTATATGGTCGTTAGGTAAATTCAGGTTAGATTGTTTCTAATGTCGGCTTAGTTAATGCGTCTATAACAGTTGTGTTCGCTTCATATTCATTAGTAAATCCAGTTAGACCGAAAGCGCAACGATTAATTTTTAATCCTTTGCTCCCTACTTCAGGTGGCATGAAATACTGTTGATAATGAAAAAATGGTCCTTTGGGCTGTCAGATCAAATAAAAGTAAAAAAACTTGCCTTTATCTTTAAAACCGACTCCACAGAAATAAAACTATCACAAAACGAAATAGAACTTGACTGATAGGCTTCATATTTTGTTCCTATGACGTTTGCGATAATCTCTAGATTCCGCTATTAAAGGCTGCAACAAATAAAGGTAGTGGACACATAAGGGATGCACATGCTTTAACACCGCACACGTTGGCAGTTTTCGCACTTATCTTAGATGTTCGAGTTTAGTGCGCTGATGGCTTGGTCATTCGTATCTGGGCGTTCGTTGCCGCAAGTTAATCGCCAGTGCTGGTCACGCGAGAGCTGATTACTCAACAGTCTGACTTGTCGACAATGTTGGTGGAAATAATGATCGTCAATGTGCTCATTGCCTGACTAATTCCCCTATCAGACAAAGTCTTAGCACCAAATATGTGGGATGAGGGTTACTTCGCTTGAAAATGGATGGTTGACCGAAGAAACAGTACTGCAATAACCCGCCTTTAAACTGCCTCCGGTCTGTCTATAATCCGACTTCTGCGTAATGGGCAAAGGAAGCTGATGTATTACGAAACGTCTAAAAAATGCGGAATGAATCACAAACGATCGATGTCGAGGTGATTTGGCCGTTCATCTGACTGTTGCATGCATTTTTTCACGGGTTCGCATATCCACCGAAAAGCTCTAATTTTTCAATCTCGTGACAACGCCAACGAGTCAAATTGTCGAGTGATTATTGCATTTGTAACCAGTGCTGTCAATTGTACCACGACAATGCATTCTTCGGATGCAGAGGATCAAACTGTTTTCACAATAAGTGCGACCATCTGACGTAAATTCGAAAAATCCTTATTCTGATTGTTGTATGGTGGTATCGAACTGCACTGTGAAAACTGTGCAACAAATACGCGTCCATCACCTTTACCTGATGCTGGGTTTTATTAGTGGCTATGGAATAATCCGAGATTTCGAATGAATAAATTCCTCATTTGACTGCTTGCTGAGCTCTCCCTTTCAATGATATTGCAATTAGAGCTTAAAAAGACTAGACATGTCGGTTTAACTAACCTTGAGCTGCTTCGTGACGCAGATTCGAGGCGATTCTGCTAGTCGCTGGAGCTGCGAGCGTTTTCCGTATTTCCATACACGCAAACTTCAGGTGCAGTGCTGCTTTTCCTAATTTCTGTAGAACCTAATGCGCGGGTTTGACGTAAATCTATCAAACCTAGTTGTTATGGCTGTGTCCGAAGGTTGTCACGAATATTTGGGCTGAACACTATCAGATACTACTAACAGACAGTCAGCGGCATACAAATGTCGAGTGGTTTACCAGACGGGCCACAAAATTACTAACCATAGACCCCTGGCGCGCGTGTTTTGCCGAGCTCGTACTGTTGCACTAAAGAGATGCGAGGGGCTCAGCTTATAATCACATCATCAGCAAACATTCGTTTGGACTTTTAGTCAGAGTACAACGGACTTTGCTCCAAAGCGTTTATTCCAAGTTTGACCATTGCTTTTGTAGACATTGGAGGACGCAGCAAAATACAATCTATAGCCACCAAAACCATTCCTCTTTAAAGCCACACCATAGTTTAGCGTAAGCAGTAGGTCGTAAGAAATAGTCCTTTTATGGGATTTTTACTGAAAAATGGTTAATTTTCTGAGGTACATACTGTTGTACCAGCACATCTGCCGAGCTGTGACTTTTGTTTCTCAGATACTTACGGAGTGCTTGCTATGAAAAAGGAAAACAATGTTTGTCTGCAGTTTGCATTTTACGGGGGCCTGTTGTAAAATGCGTGATAGTCCTAAGACTGTCAATAAAATGCATAGATTTTCGCGCATTGAAAATTGGGGTTTATATTTTTCTCGAAAAACGCCGGGGCTGCTCTAAAATGACAGACACAATATTTTCCTTTCAGACTGTTCACTCCTCATTCCAGTTCAACAACGGTAGCGACCAACGCTTGTCGAAACAGTCAATAACAATAAGGCTTATATCGTGTTCGATATTTTTTAAAATTTAAAACCTACTATCTGGCCTCATTATGCTTGGCTGCTGCGTTTCATTTACATGGGCAAAGATTGTTCATGCCTGTTCCAACGTGTAGGCAGGATTCTTATTGTAGGGTATTTACTTACGTTAGTTTTGATAACACGATTAAGATACTTAACGCGGGATTACAATTAAATAAGCAAGGAAGACTTATACACAGAGAACACAGAGAACTATTTAAATATTTTGACGCGGCTTTTTCAAATGCTTTTTATGATTTTATTTGAGGATATACTACCGGAAGTACATACGGTTTGTGGTCTTTGTTTCATTTAGTAAGCACTGCCGCTATGAATGTTGCATACCACAGCCGTGGTGTGCAGACAACGTATCGGCCTCAATAAAACTCAAATTGTAAAATATTGCAGATTTAAACAGTACACTGCGTTCAAATGGTAGAGTTCAGTATAAATTAATAACAGCCCCGTTTCCTTGCAAATTAAATGCACACGCAATACCCTGCACGTAGGACGCCTCAAGTGGTGCAGTGCTTCTGGGTCTCAACTTAATTTCGGTCAAATATAAACTTGCATTTCTCGCCTTTAGTGTTAAAATATATCTGGTGAATTAGTAAATAAATGTTAACCGAGTGCATCGGAGGTTTCTGCCAAATGTTGAAGTGCAAATCAGAGAACCAACGCAAATCTTTGTCGAACAGTACGACCTTTTGAAAATGAACGCCCATTAATTCTGTTAATATGTTTATTTACTAGGGCCGACCTCCACGGCCATATTTAAAACTTTTAAATACGTTTTACTCTAATTAGTTTCCAGCGACATTTGATTGTCACTCTACTTGCATAAGTGCACGAAAACGCTATTCGTTTTTGCATCCACTGCCGCAATTTAACTCTTATATTGCTTGCGTCTAGTGATATAGACACATAAAACGTAAAATGGCCAAGGACAATTTAATAAGACGACTAAAATAAGGGTATATGCAGTTAAAAATTCCCAGTTCAAGACACGAGTAAGAGGCCTTAAACGTTCAATCTGCGCATCTGCTTTAAAAGTCTAAATATTTATTTAATTTCGAGGTTTTTTCAAGTTGGCATACTTAT